GTGGATGAACAGAGGAGTGAGTGGATGAACAGAGGAGTGTGTGGATGAACAGAGGAGTGTGTGGATGAACAGAGGAGTGTGTGGATGAACAGAGGAGTGTGTGGATGAACAGAAGAGTGTGTGGATGAACAGAGGAGTGTGTGGATGAACAGAGGAGTGTGTGGATGAACAGAGGAGAGAGTGGATGAACAGAGGAGTGTGGATGAACAGAGGAGTGTGGATGAACAGAGGAGTGTGTGGATGAACAGAGGAGAGAGTGGATGAACAGAGGAGTGTGTGGATGAACAGAGGAGAGAGTGGATGAACAGAGGAGTGTGGATGAACAGAGGAGAGTGTGGATGAACAGAGGAGTGTGTGGATGAACAGAGGAGTGAGTGGATGAACAGAGGAGTGTGTGGATGAACAGAGGAGAGAGTGGATGAACAGAAGAGTGTGTGGATGAACAGAAGAGTGTGTGGATGAACAGAGGAGTGTGTGGATGAACAGAAGAGTGTGTGGATGAACAGAAGAGTGTGTGGATGAACAGAGGAGAGTGTGGATGAACAGAGGAGTGTGTGGATGAACAGAGGAGTGTGTGGATGAACAGAGGAGTGTGTGGATGAACAGAGGAGTGTGTGGATGAACAGAGGAGTGTGTGGATGAACAGAGGAGTGTGTGGATGAACAGAAGAGTGTGTGGATGAACAGAGGAGTGTGTGGATGAACAGAGGAGTGTGTGGATGAACAGAGGAGTGTGTGGATGAACAGAGGAGTGTGTGGATGAACAGAGGAGTGAGTGGATGAACAGAGGAGTGAGTGGATGAACAGAGGAGTGTGTGGATGAACAGAGGAGTGTGTGGATGAACAGAGGAGTGAGTGGATGAACAGAGGAGTGAGTGGATGAACAGAGGAGTGTGTGGATGAACAGAGGAGTGAGTGGATGAACAGAGGAGTGAGTGGATGAACAGAGGAGTGTGTGGATGAACAGAAGAGTGTGTGGATGAACAGAGGAGTGTGTGGATGAACAGAGGAGTGTGTGGATGAACAGAGGAGAGAGTGGATGAACAGAGGAGTGTGGATGAACAGAGGAGTGTGGATGAACAGAGGAGTGTGTGGATGAACAGAGGAGAGAGTGGATGAACAGAGGAGTGTGGATGAACAGAGGAGAGTGTGGATGAACAGAGGAGTGTGTGGATGAACAGAGGAGAGAGTGGATGAACAGAGGAGTGTGTGGATGAACAGAGGAGAGAGTGGATGAACAGAGGAGTGTGTGGATGAACAGAGGAGAGAGTGGATGAACAGAGGAGAGAGTGGATGAACAGAGGAGTGTGTGGATGAACAGAGGAGAGAGTGGATGAACAGAGGAGTGTGGATGAACAGAGGAGAGTGTGGATGAACAGAGGAGTGTGTGGATGAATAGAGGAGAGAGTGGATGAACAGAGGAGTGTGTGGATGAACAGAGGAGAGAGTGGATGAACAGAGGAGTGTGGATGAACAGAGGAGAGTGTGGATGAACAGAGGAGTGTGTGGATGAATAGAGGAGTGAGTGGATGAACAGAGGAGTGTGTGGATGAACAGAGGAGAGAGTGGATGAACAGAAGAGTGTGTGGATGAACAGAAGAGTGTGTGGATGAACAGAGGAGTGTGTGGATGAACAGAGGAGTGTGTGGATGAACAGAGGAGTGTGTGGATGAACAGAGGAGTGTGTGGATGAACAGAGGAGTGTGTGGATGAACAGAAGGAGTGTGTGTATGAACAGAAGATTGTGTGGAAGAACAGAGGAGTGAGTGGATGAACAGAGGAGTGTGGATGAACAGAGGAGTGTGTGGATGAACAGAGGAGTGTGTGGATGAACAGAGGAGTGTGTGGATGTACAGAGGAGTGTGTGGATGAACAGAGGAGTGTGTGGATGAACAGAGGAGTGTGTGGATGAACAGAGGAGTGAGTGGATGAACAGAGGAGTGTGTGGATGAACAGAGGAGTGTGTGGATGAACAGAGGAGTGAGTGGATGAACAGAGGAGTGAGTGGATGAACAGAGGAGTGTGTGGATGAACAGAAGAGTGTGTGGATGAACAGAGGAGTGTGTGGATGAACAGAGGAGTGTGTGGATGAACAGAGGAGAGAGTGGATGAACAGAGGAGTGTGGATGAACAGAGGAGTGTGGATGAACAGAGGAGTGTGTGGATGAACAGAGGAGAGAGTGGATGAACAGAGGAGTGTGTGGATGAACAGAGGAGAGAGTGGATGAACAGAGGAGTGTGGATGAACAGAGGAGTGTGTGGATGAACAGAGGAGTGTGTGGATGAACAGAGGAGTGAGTGGATGAAC